AAAATCGCACTCTGGCCTCAGTGTGATGAGAAGACCGCATGCAACAGGGGAACAGAGGGGGAGGCGAACTCACAGGCTAGCCAAGCAGATGTGACAGTGGAGAGACAGACACAGGAGGATTTAAGATGTGTTTAGATGAAAGGACGTCGGGGGAGGGGGGGTCATCAAAAATGACACCAACGTCTCCGGCTGGACTAAGTGGCTCACTGGGGCTGTCAGACACTGAAATGAGGACACAGACGGAGAGCCTGATGGGGAGGTGAGTGATGAGAACGGTTTGCAGGTGCTAAGCAGACAGTATGATACGGGCACGTGGATGACTTGGCCACGATCATGCAGGGACCAGGTGGGTCCAGGATTCCAACCAAGTCCTTTGGGCCCCTAAGCCTGTCTCCTAAGGCCAGGTTCAATGGTCCCTGCCAGCAAGGACCAAGGCCAGTAAAAGAGGTAGACACTAATGAGTGGGAAGGGGAACAAGGTTGCCAAGGACAGTGTTGGAGTCACTCTTGCCATGTAACAAAACACCCCAAAACTTAGGGGTAGTAAACAACCATTTCATTATTTTTTAAAATATTTATTTATTTGAGAGAGAGCACGAGCAGAGGGAGAGACAGAGGGAGAGAGAAAGAGAGAAGCAGGCTCTCTGCTGAGCAGGGAGCCCGACGTGGGGCTCGATCCCAGGACCCTGAGATCATGACCAGAGCCAAAGGCAGATGCTTAACTGACTGAGCCACCCAGGCGCCCCAACAACCATTTCATTATGATCAGTGATACCACGATCAGAAATTGAGACAGGGCACAAGAATGGCTTGTCTCCTCTGTATGATGTCTAGGGCCTCAGCTAGGGGTGACAACTTCTAGGGTCTGGAACCATCCAGATGCTTCTTCATTTTACATGTCCAATGATTGATGCTGGCTACTGGCTGGACCCTTCACTGGGCTTTCAGCTAGAACTCCTACGTGCATTCCTACGGTGTGGTCTCTGTGTGTGTGCTAGTTTGGGCTTCCTCCTAGCCTGGTGGCAAGATTCCAAAAAGGAGCAGCCCAAGACAGCAGGGTAGAAGTACAGGGAAGTTTTATGGTCTAGCCTTGGAAGTGATGTCACATCATGTGCACAAGCCTGCCCACGGGGAAGGAATATCTACCCACTTCTCAATGGGAGGCATGTTCAAGAGTATGAAGAAGAATATTGTTGCAGTCAGCTCTGGAAAATACAATCTGTCACCACTGAAAAGAGGAAGTGGGTTGGAATATGGAGCCACAGGGAACACTCTGCCTTGTGAAGGGTCCCAGAGTCAAGCTCTCTCAGGGAGGAAAAAATAAAAAGCTAGAATAATAACAGTATCTCAAGGGAAGCGGAAACATGTTCTACGACAGAACAATCTAAACCCACCTCTGACTCCCTCTTCGGTTCGGATACTTCGCATCGCCAACATATAGTCAGCTGCTGGGATGGAGGCCAGGGCCGGGAACAGTGGGGAAACCAAGTCACAGAAGGCAGGGTCCCACAGAAGCGAAGAGCTCACAGCTCCTCAGGCTCTGGACTCCATCTTGTGTGCCGGCTCTTGCTGTTCAGGTGAAGAGGGGGTGCATTTTTGATGTGGTGGTTTCTCCTCCTCAAGCATTCCCTCTGCCCAGAGCTGCCCCCAGAGCCGGAGAAACAGAAGAGGCACCCCTCTTCCTCTTCCTGGGTGTGGGGTGTGTTGTTGTCCCTGCAGGATGAACAGGCTAACGTCCTTTCTCCACGCAGGCCTCCTCCACCCTCTAAAACAGGAGTCATCGTCCCCCTCCAAAGTTCTTGGCTCACTGGAAGCCCCTTCCCCTGAAAGTGCACCCTCAAAGCCAGGGGCGCCCGTCAGACATGGCTCATTTTTACCACTGACCCCTCTGGAGTGGGCAGAACAGCAACCCCCGCCCCCGGCCCCCGGTCCTATTCCCAGGAGCCTTCCTCCCGGACAGCGGGGCAGTTGCCTGAGCCCAGCGTGTTGCCCCGTTCCCAAACACGGAACACACCCTCCAGTCTGTCGGACCGTGTAGCTTTGTGCGCTGGGATGAGCAAGGGCCAGCGGGGCCTCTGACCTGGAGCCAAGGGGCCCAGGGACACAGCCCCGGCCTTAAGTGGGCCTGCCGCAACCCTCCAGGCATCTTGGGAGCCTTCTCTCGGTCATTTTGTGGCTGGGTCTGATTCCTATTTCACAATCCAGAAGCAGAAACTGTGAAAACCCCACAGCTCGTTCCACCCATCACAGTCACTTCCTCTTCCGTGAGGGACACCAGGCTTCCCCTCACATCACAGAGTGGAGTCCCCGAGACCTCTCCGGGGCGACATTCAGACAGAGCAGGCTCCAGGCCACCACGATGCCCGCACCTGCCTCCCCACCCCGCCTGCCTCGGCCATCCCTGCTGCTGCCTCTGCTGCTGGGCCTCACAGGTGAGTGCCGCCCTCGGGGAGCTCCGCGCAAGGATGCTCACCTGAGTGTGGCGGCCGACGCCCGGCTTCCCCGTTGGCAGTGGGGCGGATGGATCTCGGTTCCAGGCCCTCTTTCTTCACCGTGGCTTCCTCTTGAAGACATTTCTCTAAATGTTTTCTTTTACAACAAGGCCCTCCCAAACAAATGACCCCAGAAGGCTTACTAGTCGGAGGGCTCCTTTCCTCTCCCACTCAGGTCCAGACAGGATTAACCCCACCAGGCATTTCTCAGTGACAGGGTCTTCCCAGCCCCGCTACACTTCCCACACTCCTGTCACCCTGTGAAGCCTCCATGACCCCCTGTGGCTTGACCTGCAGGACCTGGGGCCGCTCTGAGGGAGGAGGTGGGGGTGCAGCATCTGACTCCTGCTGAAAACCCTAGAACCTGGGAGTCAGAGCCGCCCTAATTAAGATGGAGATGATGATAGGTAGGTAGATAGGTAGATAGATCACAAGTACTCCACATGCCATGCAGAGCGATTAGAAAACTGGTAAGTGGTACTTTGTAGACTATTAAGTCTCCCAAAATCTCAGCATTCTAAAATCATAGTCTTTTTATTATTATTATTATTATTATTATTATTATTAATTATTCTTGATTGGGAGTTAGTCCTGCCTGTCTGCTCCCTTCTCCCCAGAGCTGACCCCAAACCCCGCAGACAGGTGAATTCCCCCTTCTCCTCCCCAGCGGGTTGACATCTCAGTTGCGAGGCTGTCCAGGAAAGCGGTTAAAAGCACAGATACTTTTTTTTTTTTTAAAGATTTTATTTATTTATTCATGAGAGACAGAGAGAAACAGAGGGAGAAGCAGGCTCCCAAGGAGCGGGAAGCCCGATGCGGGACTCGATCCCAGGACCCTGGGATCATGACCTGAGCCGAAGGCAGACGCTTAACCATCTGAGCCACCCAGGCACCCAGCACAGATACTTTTTGAAACAGATCTGCCAGAGTTCAAATTCAAGTTCATCATTTATACCCTATTTGGCTTAGAACAAGTTATGAATTTCTCTGTGCCTCCATTTTCTTGTCTGGAAACAGAGATTAATAATAATAATGCCTTTCTCACAGAGCAGTGGTGGGAATTGAATGAGTCAGTTAATGTATTTAAGTGCTTAGAGTGATGTCTGGTACACAGAAGTGTCTATGGAAACTCCCTGTCGAATCCTTCTAGGGTTTAGTGAATGCAAATACGAACACCTAAAAAACGGTCCTGCTGAGTCTGGCCATTACAGCACTCACTGCATGTCCTTGACAACCAATGTCTTCCTTGAAAACTCACAGCACTGATGGGGAAAGGCTTGATCCATCCTGCTTGACAGAGGAAACCACCGAAAGCAGAGGAGGGAGGGAGGGGCTTCCCCCAAACAGCAGCAGGCTTATCTGAGCTGGAGTCGGGCCTTGAGCCCACATCAGCCTGACTCCAGGTCCACACATTCCAGGCCCTTCAGGCACAATCCTGAGTGTTTTTCAATGGCTTCCAGTTTCAGTCTCACAACAAAACCGTTAAGAGAAGTCCCCTGGGCCAGGCAGGGGACACATGGAGCTGACTTGTGTTTCCCTCCAGGTGTGGCAGGTGAGGCGGAGCTGCAGGTGATCCAGCCTGAGAAGTCAGTGTCTGTCGCAGCTGGACAGACAGTCACTCTGCACTGCAGTCTGACCTCTCTGCTCCCCCTTGGGCCGGTTGAGTGGTTCAGGGGAACAGGGCCAGCCCGGGAGTTAATCTTCAGTTCCAGAGGAGGCCACTACCCCCGAGTGACAAAGGTTGCAGATAACACAAGGAGAAACAACACGGACTTTTCCATCCACATCAGTAACATCACCCCAGCAGACGCCGGTACCTACTACTGTGTGAAGTTCCAGAAAGGGACCCCTGACGTGGAGTTTAAGTCTGGACCAGGCACCAGGATGTTTGTACGTGGTAAGTCCAGATCCCTGAAAACCCAGCCTGGTTGTTCTAAAGACAGATTACAAGCTCCAGGCTCTCAGCCCAAGGCTCCCCCTTTGTCAGCCCTTGTGTTAAGTTGAGGATAGAAGATGGGGTAGTGAGAAATCACAGCACGGGAGCAGAGTGGAATAGAATCCCAGGGCCCCTAGCAAGAGAGTTAGAATCTTACATTTTCAAAGGCCACAAAATAGACCAGAAAGCAGAGTGAGTAAAATTACAGGCACCAGGGCCAAACGGCCTGGATTCAACTTTTAACTCTGCCATTTTCAAGCTGTGTGACTTTAGTGACTTTCTTAAATTCTCTGTGCCTCCATTTTCTCATCCGTAAGATAGGAATAATAATTGTACTCACCTCGTAGATTTGTTATGAGGAGTACAAACATAAATGAGTTTATAAATGTAAAACACTTAGAAGAGCACCTATAACCTAATTACTGTATTAGTGTATATTGTCACTATTCAGGATATTAAAACCAATTAGACCTAAAAACATAATCTTAAAGGCATGAAACCACAGATTCACAGAAACAAGGAATGAAAGAATTACTGAGGCAGAAAATTATAAAAATCACATTTGGGGATGTGGAATATGTAATCCTTATATTTCTCAAAATTTGCCCTTGATTCTTTAAGACCTGTATATTTTTGGATTTGGTCCTGGCTGATAAAATCATGGCTGAAGACAAAGCCCACAAGACTCTAAATAGCATCCATACAGGAAAGCGTGGGAAGCAGAGCAGTTAGTTCAGGCCTGTTCATACTGATGACTTAATGATCATGTTGTTTTCTCTGTAAAAAAATGAGTGTGGTAACTTACTCAAACAGAACAGAATAGAAACATACATCAACAGAATTTTTGAATTAAAATTTTAGTGCCTCCAGGCCACAGAAAAGCGAAGGGAACTGGTAGGCAGTCTTCTGAGACAAAGAGAAGGTCATATGATTTTCAAGAATTTAAAATAAAAAGCAAGTTGTATGAGAACCATTTGAACGAGATCAGCATGAGATGTATACAGGCAGCATTAGATGCTAGCAGACAAGGAGTGGTGCCTTCAAAATTCTTAAGGAAAATGATGTCCAACTTAAAATTCTAGACCCAGCTAATCTGTTGAATTTGTGACATCACCAAGAGCTACCTTTCAGTGTAATCTTTCTGTTTTAACCAAGATAAAAGTTAAGCAAAGACAAGTAAGAATGGAAACCAGAAAAGGGGACTGGAGACTCCAAGATAAGAGCTGTGCAGGAGGCATAGGAATAACCACTAGGCCATTCCAGAACAGGAGGACTGAGGGCTTTAAGAGGGCATCTCAAAAAGATTGAATCACTAGAACATCAGTCTTCAAACTCATGCCTACCATTTCTAATATTATTTAAGATTATATTGAAATATTAGCCAATGCTTTCAGAAAGGAGAAAACAATAGAAAGCATACAAATTATAAAGGAAGTAGAAAAACTATGTCTCTTTGTAAATGATATGGTATCTGGAAAACTTAATGGACTCAAGGTTAAGCTATTACAAACTATAAGATACTTTAGTAATGTGGCAAGTTATAAAATCAATAAACAGAAATCAATGATACTTTAGTAATGTGGCAAGTTATAAAATCAATAAACAGAAATCAATGACCTTCATATAAGCAAACAAAAACCAGTTAGAAGATATAATGGAATAGACGACCACATACACAATAGCAAATTTAATACTTTGGGCACCTTCTATCAAAACAGTGATAGGGACTGGATTTACTTGCCCACGAAAAATCTGGGCAAACTACATGGAACAATGGCTGACAAGACATTGGACAACAGGCAACAAAGGACAGTAATCGCTGAGAGATGAGAGACAAATGACATGGAACCCAAGGTTGCCTCCAGCTTACTCTCTGAGAAAGCTTCCATGCCACCATCCAGTAGGAAAGTACTCCGATGGAGCATGGAGGCCTCCTCAAGTTGAGAAGGAGCTAGAAGTCTAAGGAGGGCAAAGTGGCTGGAGTTTTCAGAGGAGAGCACCAAAGATGAGAAAGCTACACAGAACGAGAACTCCAAAGATCTTGAGTATTTGGCTGAGTACTGAAGAGTATGTTCATGAGGACATACATGTATGCGAGTATATGTACATGGCCTCAAGAGAAAATATCCCTGGAGCTCACACAAGGCCAAGAACGGTGCCTGTTCCCACCAACCTGAGTAAAAAACCTCATAATTCATGGAGCATCTGGTACAGTATGCAGAAGGTTCTGCCTCAGTAAGAGGTAAAAAAGGGAGAAAAAATTAGCCCTAGACCAAATGATGCTATGGTCCTGCATCGCAAAGCTTAAATACAACACATGAAAATATCAAACTGTTTCCAGGTAATTTAACCAGGTCCCAAAACAAGTTCAAGCATATTTATAAGATCACAAAATATCCAATACTAAGCAAAGTAAAATTCACAACTTCTGGCCTGCAATAAAAAACTACCAAGCTGACAGATAGTAACTACAGTTATCGTGGTGAGCACAGAATAATATATAGAACTGTGGGATCACCTGAAACTAATATGACACTGTATCTCAACTGTATTTCAATAAAATTTTTAAAATTACCAAGCATGAAAGCAAGAAAACACCATTTATAATGTGAATCAACTATTTGAAACCTAACCAGAAAAGACAGATGATGGGATTAGTACACCAGGATAGTAAAGATAGTATAACTCCACTATGTGGTCAAATAGAGGAAAGATTGAATGTGTGAAGTAGAAGCATGAAAAATATTTTCAAAGATCCGTGTTGAACTTTTAGAGATGAAAACTGCAATGTCTAGGATGAAAAATGTACACTGGATGGGATTCATGGCAGGTAAGACACTGAAAAAAATTAAAGAACTTAATATACAGCAACAGAAACTATCCAAAATTATACACAAAAATGTAAAAGACTGAGAAAAGATAAACAGAGCATCAATCAGCTATGGGAAAACCTCAAGTGGCCTACTAAATATGTGTTAGAGACTCTAAAGGAAGTAGGGGACAGAAAGAGTATTTGAAGAAATAATGGTTGCATTTTTCCAAATATGATGAAAACTATGAACCTATGGATCCAAAAATCTCAGTGAACCCCAAGCACAAGAAACATGAAGAAAAGTACACCAAAGTGCATCATATTCCAATTGCATAAAATCAGTAATAAAGAAAAGATCTTAAAAACAACCAGAAGGGCGCCTGGGTGGCTCAGTTGGTTAAGCGACTGCCTTCGGCTCAGGTCATGATCCTGGAGTCCCTGGATCGAGTCCCGCATCGGGCTCCCTGCTCGGCAGGGAGTCTGCTTCTCCCTCTGACCCTCCCCCCTCTCATGTGCTTGCTCTCTCTCATTCTCTCTCTCTCAAATAAATAAATAAAATCTTAAAAAAAAAAAACAACCAGAAGAAAAGGGAGATATTAGATATAAAGGAAGATATATTTGACAGCAGATTTCCCATTGAAAAATTATGTAAGCCAAAAGATAGTGGAGAAACATCTTCAAAGCATTCTTTTTATTCTTATGTTAATCCCCATACGTTACATCATTAGTTTTAGATGAAGTGTTCCATGATTCATTGTTTGTGCATAACACCCAGTGCTCCATGCAGAATGTGCCCTCCTCAATACCCACCACCAAGCTAACCCATCCTCCCACCCCCCTCCCCTCTAGAACCCTCGTCAAAGCATTTTTAAATGAGATAATATAACAATGCTAAATGTTTATTCACCCAATAAGAGAGCTTTAAAATACATGACACAAAAACTCATAAAATAGTAAGGATGGAGAGACAAGTCCACAGCTATAGTTTCGGATTTCAACACTCCTCTTTCAATAACTGGTAAGACAAGTAGGCAGAACATCACTAAGTATGTAGAAGACTGAACGGCATTATAAAACAATCTGAGTTAACTGACATTTATAGAACACTCCATCCCAAAACAGCAGGATACACATTCTTTTCAAATGCAAAGGGAACACTTACCAAGATGCATCATAACCTGGGCTATAAATTGTCTCAGTAAATTTAAAATTAGTCAAGTCATACAAAATGTGTTCTTACTGGAATTATATTAATAACAAAATGATGTCTGGAAAAGCCCAAATATTTGGAAACAAAAGGATACACTTGTGAATAACATATTATCAAAGAAGAAGTAAAAGGAAAATGAGAGACGATTCTAAACTGAATGAACCTGAAAGCACAACATACAGAATTTGTGGATGCAGCCAAAACAGTGCTTAGGGGGAAATTTATAGCACTAAAATGCTTATATTAGGACAGAAGAGAAGTTTCAACTCAGTGATCTTAAAAATTAGAACAAGAAGAACGAGGGAAACCCAAAGCAACCAGAAGAAAGGAAAAAGTAAAGAACAGAGCAGAAATCAAAAATAGAAAATGGAAAACTAGGAGAAAACCAATAAAACCAAAAGCTGGTTCTTTGGAAAATCAGTAAAATTTATAAACTCTTAGCCATACAGTCAGTCAAGAAAAAAGAGAGAGTACACAAATTACCAATATCAAGACTGAGAGATGGGGCGCTAGGCTGGCTCAGTTGGAAGAGCATGTGACTGTTGATCTCAGGATCATGACGTTAAGCCCCACCTTGGGTGTGTAGAGTTTACTAAATAAATAAATAAATAAATAAATAAACTTAAAAAAAAAAGAACGAGAGGTAACATCCCTATGGTTTCCACAGATACTAAAAAGATTATAAGGAAACTTTATGAAAAATGTTATACCTATAAACTCAACAACTTAGATGAAATGCACAAATTCTTCAGAAGACACGGGCTACTAAAGCTCACTCCAGAAGAAGTCAATAGCCTGATTATTTCTATATTTATTAAAGAAATTGAATTTGTAGTTTCAAAAGCCTCCCACAAACAACAGTCCAGGCCCAGATGACTTCACTGAGGAACTCTACCAAACACTGAAGAAAGAAATGCTAACAATTCTACACCAATTCTT